ATTGTAACTTATTCACTTAGCTTGGTTTTAAGCAAGTGGCTTGTTGAAGGTGTCTATTTTGCCTTGTTTTTCGACTTGGAAATTTGCTCTAGTCTTTGTATCCACGGTCATTGTATTGATAAGGAAAATGCACAAAAAATGGAACTCAACGAATTCTATGTATAACAAGTTATTTGGAAATAGGATGGATGATTCTCCTTCAAAGTGGGTGTGGTCGAAGGAGGTCCCCCTAAAGCTTCGGCTTTCTTTTTGTTATCACAGAATAAAACCTCCTCATTAATCATCTCTAACATAGAGCTATCGTTAACCAGGTGATATTCATATAAGGGAGAGGAAGAGTTGACGAATCATCTATTGATGCATTGTGATTATAGCTAGAGATAAATTCTTTCATGGTGCCTCCTACATTCCCTTGTTTGTTCTAGGAATGGACAGGAAAGACCTGAAACAAAAGGGACCAAATGCTTAGTGGTCTAACAAACCGATTATATTTTTTTGCTTTGTTGCGCTTGTTCTTTCCCATTTGACTACTCTCTTTATGTCAGTTTCAGTGTTATCATTTTTAACTATTCCACGAAAATTCATCAGACGATTACCAAATTTCACATTTATAAGATGAACTATTTCATGCATCTTTTCCTAGGGATTGACCATACATATAGAACACTTTTTTAATCACAGTCAAATTCTTCATGGAAAGATCCCCACAAACTTCAACAACCTCTCACCCTCTAATAGAATGTGACAAAAGATTATGTACAAACTGCACAAAAGAGAAACACGTTATGAGTTTGATAATCAAAACCCAACTAAAGAGAAACATATTTATTTCTACCGAAAAGATTTATATCTGCTCGCTCAGTCATATCCACCGTTCACTAAATCTAGCGGCCGATATGAGACCCGTTCAAAAGGAGAAACCAGGGCATCTGGTTGCCCTCGATTGAATTAAAAAAAAGCGTGATGGTGCAGTTCCATACACCTGCAACCAATCTCCTTCTCTTTTATTTATTTTTTAAAGCCTATACCACCACCTTTTTCGCCTCTCTCAGTCTCTCTCCTCTAAATCCATCTCTCCATCTATCATCTCCCATTCTCTCTCTATGCTATCTCTTATCTATATGCTAAATCCATCTTATTCTCTTTGAATCCATCCCAAACTCTTCTTACACATTGCTCTACAACTTGAATCCGTCTCCAACCGCCCGATTCTCCCCTGCCTCTTTCCATCTCTCTTTGCCCTAATTCCACTCCCAACCCCTTTCTCTTATCTATCACTATCTTATGAAGAGAGAGTAATGACAATGGAGACGTAGCATTCACATGGCAACGGACTTACAGATTGGCTATGTTTAGCAAGAATTCACTCATACCATAGTCTTTGTTGGGATCCATGAGGTTGCTGCCTCACATATGAGAGCCAGCTTCATTGCAAAGTGATTTTGCATGAGGAGATTTTCGTGTAAGGATTCAAAGGAATGGGCCAAAAATTTTATTTTAGCTCATAGATATGTCGCTGCTGCTGTGACTTTGTCAAGTCAATGGCGTTGGATTTGCCAACCTCATGGCTTGTTGGTTTTCATGCTTTTTGCCCAGCCCTTATATCAAAGGTCCAAGTTTCTTTAATGGAAAAGCAGAATCTCTATTTATAAATGATCTCGAAAATTTTTCCTTCTTTCAAATGGATCATACAGCTCACATCGTACACAAGGGGCTTGCTTCTTTCTACCAGTTTTGAATCATGAATAAGGCGAGTTCAAGCCAAAAGATTAGTCTTGCTTGCATTAGTTTTGAATCAAACCAAAAGGCTTTTAGCTTCCCATTGGTTTGGTGCCCAAGACTTGGTCCTCTCTAATGGCTCTCAAGTGAAGGTTAACAACACCCATTTGGTTATGCATGGGTTTCCATTGATAATAATTATAAAAAACAGTAAAAAACATATGTATCTTTTAGTGTTGGATTATATTTTGCAGGCCGAGTTTTTGACAAAAATGTCTACGAAAAGCTAAAAAGTTTGGTTTCATGGAACACCATGTTTGCTTGATACTCGTCTTGTTTTTCGGTTAAAGGTTGTGTGTTACAACAAGATCATTGTAATCAGCCCCTTGCTGAATTTGCCCTTGATATACCAACAGTGTTCAAAAAAGCGGACCGCCCAGCGCCTAGGTGGTCTAGAAGGCCTGGGTGCATTGCCCATGTCAAGGCAAACAAACTGGACGGCAATCCCTGGGCGGCCGCCTAGGCGGTACAGAACCCGCCTAGGAGGGCGCCCAATCCTGGGAGGCCGCCCAAGGCCTACGCCCTGCCTAGGTGCGGAATTTTATTTATTTTTTAGTCTGTAATCATTTTTTTTTTAGTTTGTATTCATTTTTTTTTAATATAAAGCGTTTGAATGATAGGTTTTAGGTTCATTTCAAACTTAAACCCATAATAACCCATTTTAGAGAGAAAGAAACCTCATGAAAACTAAATTTGTGACTTTCATTAGATCGAAGTACTTCTCAAAGTTACGAAAAACGGATCCAAACATCACCCAGGTAGATTTGATTTAGTTTTGGAATTTTATAATCCTATTAGAGGGTGCTTTTTATTATTTTAGCCCCAGAAAACATCTCAGAGGTGGTAGTTTGGAGTTCGAGCAATCAAAGTAAGTGCACAAATTTATTTTTTAGATTGCTTATTTTATTTTGAGATATCTTCTTCAGGATCTAGTTGAAGTGGAGATCCGGGTTGAAAATATGGATATAACCCGAATCCAGATGCAATTTTTGTGAAAAATATACGAAAGGGGGAGTAAACCGGTTTAAGAAGCATCTTGCCGGTATTAAGGGTGATGTTGCCCCTTGTAAAAATGTTCTTGAAGCTATCAGAGAGGAGATTAAGCAATATATGAGTTTTGTAAAACAAAAACAAGAACAAAATCCTTGTCATTTGAATAGATCTATTTCTGCTACTTCTAGAAAAATTGATCCGGGTTGAAAGTATGGTTATAATCCAAAACCAAACGATAAAAATTGTATAAAGTGTAATTTTTGTGAAAAAGATACCAATGGGGGTATTAACCGATTCAAGAAACACCTTGCTGGTATTAAAGAGAATGTTGCTTCTTATAAAAGGTTCCTAAAGCTATTCAGGATGAGATTAGACAACTTTTGAATTTAAAAAAACCAAAAAATGATGAAAATGAGCCTTGTTCTATGGAAATATCTTCTCCAGGTTCTTCTAGAAGTGGTGATTCGGGTTGGAAGCATGGTTATAACCCGAATCCAAATGACAAAAATCGTATTAAATGTAATTATTGTGGAAAGGATACTAATGGGGCATTTACCGGTTTAAGAAACACCTTGCCGATATTAAGGGAGATGTTGCCCCATATAAAAATGTTCATGAGGCTACCAGAGAGAAAATTATACAATATTTGAGTCCAGGGAAGCATAAAAAAATAGAAAAGGGTAGAGCAAGCAAGACTCCTAGGGCCTCATTTGCACATGCTAGTAAGAGGGAGGTAGAAGAAGAGGAGGAAGAGGCAGATTCAGAAAAAATATAGGACGAGCGTTATATTGAAGAGGGAGATGACTCTAATGATGATGGCCTCAATTCTAATGCATATAATGAAGTTGACCCTATTCCTTCTGATGATGATGACTGAAGACTGTTGGTGTTGAGTGACTGTTGACAGTTGTGTTAAGTGTTGACTATTGTGTCCTAGAAAGTATATTTTCTGAATTTTTGTATATTTTATTTTTCTTATTTTTAGTTTTTACTTTCTCGTTTCTAGTTCTACTATCTAACTTTTGTGTGTACAATCTATAGTGTATCATACTAACAGTGTATGCTTGTATGGTTTTACTGTTTTAACATGAATGAAAATATGGATTATGGTCTTATGGATTATCAAAATTCTCTTCTCGACTTCTATCTTCTTTTTTTAACTAGGATTATGGTCTTATGGATTATCAAAATTCTTATGGATTATGGTCTTATGGATTATCAAAATTCTTATGGATTAATCGTTATCAGTCATCAGTCACTCACCAGGTTTTTTTTTTTTTTCCAACTGCGCCGCCCAGGCGCCAACCTAGGCGATGGGCGGCCTGGACCCCCATTGCCGCCTAGCACTTTTTGAAATTGTCAACCAATGCAATTTGCATTCAACTTCTTGAGTAAATTCTTCAGTAATGGATACGTATGTTCAATGATTGTAGCACTTTCTCTATCTTTTCTCTTCCCATTATACCTAAAAGGGCTCAGGATATTGGTCTATAGCTACATGGAACCTCTCTGCCTATGAACAAGAAAGGGTTTGTGAGGGATGATTAAGAGCACAGAGAGGGGACAAAGGCCGTTGCAACAGATGACAATGGAGAGAAGAGGAAAGTCATGCAGGCGTATGGCACCTGCATCAAAGTTCTTAATTACTATGAGGGAACCAATCGTTTCGGTCTCGAAATTTTGAAATAAAGCTCTATCCACCACTCGACTTAACAAACGGTGGACACGGCTGAGGGAGCAGGTTTATATTATGCTCCCACAAGAGCATATGCCCTTATTTCTAAAAAGAAAAACCACTAATTTCATATACAAATCCAACAATAGCTTTTTAAATATCTTAGAGTTAATTCTCCTTTCTTAACAATACCCAGGTTTGCTCTAAGGAGATATGAGAATTAATCTAAAAGTAGCCAAGGTAATTATTAACATTGCAGTAGAATAAGCTGGTAAGAAAGGAACAAAAGGGAAACATAATCATACAGAGAACCTCTTAACAGCCAGTAATCATCATCTTTTCAATCTATCCAGCACCAGAATAAGCTCCTAGAGAGACTTGTATAAGTCTCTTGTAAGCACTGAGAGTTGCACACACACACACACACATATTCTCTATTTAAGTGCACTGAGAGTTGCATACACACACGCACACAGATATATATATATATAAAGAGAGAGATACATACACACACACACAACATACATCCTAAACTTGATAGTCAATGTAATACCTGCGTCACCCAAATCCATGAAAAAGCGAAAAACAGGACCATTCCTCTCATTTTTCATAAGCATACTCAACCCCTTTTTTATCCAATCTGGGACTCTGCATTGTAAAAGCAACTAATGTAAACACATGGAGAGAAAATGGAGGGAGCAGACAGAATATTAACCCAGCTGATTGATATTAAAACAATATCCTTCAATATCACACTAATATCCATGCATGAGACCACAACTATCTCAACCATGGAAAAGTAAAATACATACTGTAAAGGGAAAGTATACCAGATGCATGGTGGTATACAGCTTACAAACAGTATGCTGCATACATCATGGTACACAATCCCAATATATAAATCATCATTGTATGATAGACCAGTTAGAGAGTGGCTTTTTATTATTAATAACAAAAATTGTAGGTTTTTATCAAAAACCCAAAAGAGATTATTAATTGATCAGCCTACACTTTTAAAAATATTCGAGACAAAAACGTTCAGTGTCAAGGATTTTTGAGATCAAGGTTTCCATCAAGGGTTTGCATGAGCTAAAAAGATTTGCAATTTCTTCACAAAGTTGGGTCGGTCTTTGATTGATTTGAATCCCAAGCCTATTCTTAGGTCTTTGATCCAGCCCTAATCTTTATTTTCTCAAAAAATAAAAAAAAACCAAAAAAAAAAAACACACACACACACACAGATCTTACATTTTGATACATTTAAATTTTCCGATTTACTCTTCATCCAAATTTTTCAAGAGCTAGGATCTCCTAGATCTGAACTCGAAACCCAATAATAGTTCGGAGGATTTGATTTGAGTTGCTTGGGGAACCTTTGGTGTGAATTTGACGCATCAATTCGCCCCACCCCCTAAGATTTGGGGATCAGCCTCAAGATTCGGAATTTTTAGGTAGATACGATATGATTTCATTTTTATTTCAAATATTTGATTTATTTTTTACAAGTATTACTCAATCTAGTAATAGTTGTTGTTGCATTTTTGTTGTGGTTTATCAAATGAAATAAGTAACATTCTATTTTTTCCCCCAATTTTCTTGCACTCAAAGATTTTTATAACCTATAGCGAGTCTGATTCTAGTATTTATGATATTTTTTTTTTTTTGATAATAAATGTTAAAGTTTTTTTAAAATATGATGATACTAATTATATTGCTTTAATGCATTTTTCGATGCACCTGACATAGTGCTCTCTCTCCAAAAATTCAATAATTCAATTTTTAAATTTTTTTTGATGTGTAGAAAAGGATTATTTATTTATCCATTAGCTCAATATTGCTGATGGTTCAGCTAATGGTTATCTTTTTTCAATTCAATGATATCGAATACATTTTTCATGAGTTTTTGATGCACCAAGCATGCTTTAAATGTATTGAACATGGTACTATCTCTCCAGAAGTACCATATTTCAATTTTTTCATGTTTTGATACATAAAAGATATTCATCATCATCATCTGAGCCTTATCCCAACTATTTGGGGCCGACTGCACAAATCTTGTTACACCATTTCACTCTATCAAGGGTCATACCCTCAATCAGACAATAGGTCACCATATCTCTTCTCACTACTTTTACCCATGTCGTTTTGGGCCTTGCCCTTACCCTTTTAGAGCCTTCCACTTTAACCAAACCAGCCTTCCTAATTGGTATTCTTATAGGTCGACGATATGCATGCCCAAGCCACTTATGTCTTTCCCTCATCTTATCGCCTATTGGAGCCACCCCTAAGTTCTCTTGGATCTATTCATTCTGAATTCTATCTTTTCTTGTCATGCAACTCATCCATCTCAACATCCTCATCTCAGCTACACTCATTCTATGGATATGTTGTTTCTTGACCACCCAACATTTCATCCCATAAAGCATGGCTGGTCTTATAACTGTCCTATGATTCTTCCTTTTAATATTCATTAGTATGTCGTTATCACATAAAACTCAGGAAGCACAACTTCACTTCGCTCAACCAACTCTAATTGTATGTGCGACATCTTCCTCAATCTCTCCATTCTCATGGATTATTGACCCCAAATATCAAAAATAAAAAATATCCTCGCATTGCTTAAATGCCTCTTGGAAAATATCTTGATGCATACAAAAATATTTGAATGTGTAAAAGGACAGTTTTATTCAGAAAATTCAAATTTTGTCATATTTGGATGTAAACTTGAATATATACATATCTTGGTTGGGTGTTAAGCCTTCAACATACTAGTTTTTGTAGGTTTAAGAGATATCGCAAGAGGATTCGACAATTGCATAATGGGGTAAACCCACGGGAGAAGAGCAAGGGGTGGGTAAGGTGTGGACAGTGTGGGAACGAGATTACAAGCAGTGTAAATTGTGTAAACATAACCTCGCCAAAATTTAAGGTGTTGCATGACATACAAAGGTGCCTAGGCTAACTAGGGAGTAAATGCAAAGAGCTATTGATGTAGCAAAAGGAAAAAAGGTGCAGACACAAAGGACACATAGGAGATTGGTAGTGAGTTACAGATACCCAATTTGGAATTGGCAAATTTCCTTAATTCCTAAAACCCTAAATTCCCAAAAACACGTAAATGTGAACCATAAGAACCATACTAGCCTAGTACATCACAGCCTGCAATCTTGCCAGCCCAGATTGATCCAAACAAGTAGACAAACCTATGGAAATCTAAGAAAACCTGAATTGGACACCCAAAAACATGTAAATATTGAACCAGATTGCCACCCGAGGCCTTGGAAGAGTGTCCGGCTTGATCTTGTAAAGAACTAGGATTGGCTTAGTCCGACGACACAAGGCACATAGTCAAGTCCAAAGGGTCTGACAACGAATATCCCGTTGTCAGTATTTTCCAGGACTAAATGAATTATCACCTTATGTTGACTTTCTAGAAGGTTCTGGACTCTGTTTTTTATTTGACTCAATCAAAACCCAATGAAGCTTAATCCTAATACATTTAGAGCCTAAAGATAGACCTACAACTCCCAATCACAATTGGATTAATGCCTAACCAAAAGCATATATAAAGCTCCCTGACCTCCCATATATCACATCTAAATATCCTAGAATTTCCTTAGAAATTAGAGAAAAACCACTAGATAGAGCAAAACCCTAAAAACCCTAGAACTAGAGTCTAGAAAACCCCATAAAACCTAGGTGACCTAACCTTAAGCCAATTATCTACAATCCTAATTATCTATCTTCAAAAACCCTAATGTTAGGAAGATATTGCTTTAAGCACCAAAATTAGTGACTCCGCACAAAACTAAAAGTTGGGTTCTTCTTATCTTTATCAATGATGTCTTTCATGAGGAGGCTCATAATGTGTGCTAAGCATCCAGACCAAAAAATATGGGGATGGCGGCGTTCGGTAATTGTTCCTGCACCTCTGCAATTTGCAACATTATCATTAACCACTTGAACGACATTGTAGGTTCCAATAGAGTCTATCGCCTTCAAAAGAATATCAGCGATGTTTTGACTAGTCATCTCAATGGAAAAGCAATCATGCCCCTTGAGGAACATTGCCTTCCCACCCCCCTCCGAAACTATTAGCACATTGATCAAAGACTCATTTTTTTCGTTGCTCCATCTATCTGATACAAATGAAACTCCATAAGTTGTCCAATCATTCCTTAAGGGAGCCAGTGCCCTCGCGATTCTGCTTCTCTCCTTACCCAACAAAGATGTCCTAATGTTATCATATTTAGGAGGGACGTAGCCTTTTGGCCCATTATTAACAGCATATACTATTTTATGAAATGTAGGGCCATTGGTGACATTGAATGGGATGCTGTGCGCATAGAAAAAGCGTCATGAGCACTGAACATATGAGAAAGTTTTTCTTTTTCTATGGATCGTGGTTTCGTGAGGAATGAGGAGGTATCCGGAGAGAACAAAGTTTTTGGCTTCTTTGCCCTCTCATACAACCAAACTACCTCTTCCTCTTCTTGCTTCAAAGCCTCCCTTTCTTCCTTTGACACTTTAGAACACTTTGCAATTCCTTGAGACGCCTGCCCCGGGGACATATCCAATAAATGGGCCCGCACACGAACATAGAGCCAGTATATGGAGCTTTTCTGCAATTGAAATTGCAGATCCACTTCAAATCAAAAGCCACATTGCCTATTACAGGGTTTTCAAACTCGTCCCCCAACCCTGCCATAATAATTTATCATAAAATATCATTTTTTTTCGATGTAAAAATTTGTGTAAAAATATATCTCACTTGAACTCAAAAATACTTTTGGATGTAGTTCTTAATCTCTCTCTCTCTTCTTCTTCTCTACTACACACATGCTCTCTTACTGAGAAGAATAGAACCACATATCTCTCTCTCTCATCTTCTCTAATGTGCATGCCCTCTCTCAATAAGAAATAGTGAAATACAAAACCATCTCCATATATCTCTCTCGCACGCCCTCTCTCAATAAGAAATACAAAATGTCTCTAATGCGCACACGCTCTCTCTAAGAAATACAGAGCATCTCCCTCTACTTCTCACTAACAATTTCAGTTCTCTCTTCCAATTCCTACACCTATCTCTCTTGACTCTCTCCCTAACAATTTCAATTCTCTCTTTCCCTCTAAAATTTCAATTTTCTCTCTCTATCTCTCTAACAATTTCAGTTCTCTCACTCCCAATTCCTACACCTCTCTCTCCTGACTATCTCTCTCTCTAACAATTTCAGTTCCCTCTCTCTCTAAAAATTTCAGTTCTATCTTTCTCTATGTCTCTAACAATTTCAGTTCTCACACCCAATTCCTACACCTCTCTCTCTCCTGGCTATTTCTCTCTCTAACAATTTCAGTTCTCTCTTTCTCTCTAAAGATTTCAGTTCTCTCTTTCTATATCTCTAACAATTTCAATTCTCTCACTCCCAATTCCTACACCTCTCTCTCTCCTTAATATCGCTCTCTAACAATTTCAGTTCTCTTTCTTCCTCTCCTGACTCTCTCTAACAATTAGAGCTCCCTCTCTCTCTTTTACAATTTTAATTCTCTCTCCCAATTCCTACACCGCTCTCTCTCCTGACTCTCTCTCTAACAATTGCAGTTCTCTCTCTCCCAATTCCTACACCTCTTTCTCCTGACTCTCTGTCTCT